TTGGGAACCACTGCTCTAAGCTGAAAAAAACATATAATGCAGAAATGAAACACAGTGGCTGAATGGAGCAGTGGTTAGCACAGCTGCTTCACAGGATGAATGTTTCTGGTTTGAAAACAACTTGGGGCTCTTTGTTACCATGTTCTGTACCTGTGGGGGTTCTTTCACATATTAATAATAATCTGGTGACTTCAGCTTTACTGTTACTTCACAGATTTACAAATGTAAAAAGTGGATCAAAAACTTCCAAAAATAAATAAACATATATTTTAGATATGTGCAAAATGCAATAAATTACTAAATAAAAGAGCATATGTCTGGGATAAGAATAATTATAAACCTAAATGAGATTATGACAATTTACTTGAAAGACAGTGTATTTTAAACAAACCCATGATCTCCTAAATCATCTTTTGTTTGTCAATACTTGTTCAGAATGGAGAGTCCTGGGATGCCGGCAACTGCACCACAGCTACGTGCATTAATGGGAAGATTATAACGATGCCAACAGTCTGTCCTACTATGCAGCAGCCCATCTGCACCAATGGACGCAGTGCTGCTAAGATCTCAGATGATGACGGATGCTGCCCTCACTATGAATGTCGATGTAAGCTTAATAATGTATATTATAAATACACAGCAAAATATACACTGTACTTATGGTGTATATAAATACACACTATGAAATCTGTCTCTTTGATATACTGCAGATAATCTTGTGTCAGAGCCTTGAGGCTTGTAAATACATGAAAAGCCACCACTGATCAATGGCCATGAATACCCTTCATGTTGTTGCTAGTTATTTAGGCTGTTATTGTCTATTCAATTCAATTCAATTCAATTCAATTCAATTTTATTTATATAGCGCCAAATCACAACATAAGTCGCCTCAAGGCGCTTCATAGATACAATATTATTGTCTATTGTCTTTTTGTGGCATATTTATTGTTGTGAGTGGGCATGTAAGATAAGATAGAACTTTATTAATCCCTCGGGTGGGTTCCTCTGGGAAATTCGATATGTGTCCATATAGTGAAGTTTTTACATTACTGTGCAATACTCTGTTTTATCTACAGCACTTTGGCCAACCTTGTATTAAATGTTCTTTATAAATAAAATGAGATCAGCCTGCATTCTGACTGTTTAGGCAGATCCATGGTCTTTTGTTAACTTATGACGCTTGTCTATTTTTCCTGTTCCAGTTATTACTTGACATTTCTATACATGATTCTTTTCACCCTGCAGGTGTGTGCAGTGTCTGGTGTGGATCCCACTACTTAACATTTGATGGAGAATCCTACAATTTCAATGAGAATTGCTCTTACTACCTGGTCAAAGAGATTATTGCTAAATATAACCTGACTGTTGTAGTTAACCGTGATTGTGATCCATCAAGCAGTACATTCTGTCCCAAGGTTCTTACTGTTACATATAAATCTTTCAAAGTGGTTTTGACTCAGCTGATGTCTTCAGGAATACCAACTAATGTGGTAAGCAATAATTCAATTTGACCAAGCGAAAGCTGATCTAATGGTTAATCTTTCAAATGAGTATGATGCTTGTTTCACACTATTTTTTAATGTAAATTGTGTTGTTACCTACAGGTGTTTGTCAATCAGCAAAAGATCTATCCTGCCTATAGCAATTCGGTCCTGCGCATTACTAGCACAGATATAATCACCACATTGGAGTTACAAGACATCAGTGCAAAAATAGTCTATTCAGGCTCTTCATTCAGCATTGACCTTCCCTACTCCCTCTTTGAAGGAAACACAGAGGGACAATGTGGTGAGTTAGAGAATACTTCTCCCAATCTTTAACCCAGGTCTAAACAATGACCATTAATAAGCCAAATATTAATAATAGAAAAGATTCCTCGGCCACTTGCAATCAAATTGAACTCTAATCCATATCCAATCTAGAAGGTGAGACAGCCTCAGCACACTTTGGTTAATAATAATAATGGATTGCATTTATATAGCGCTTTTCAACGCCCTCAAAGCACTTTACAGTTCCACTATCACTCTCACATTCACACACTGGTGGAGGCTACAGTTGTAGCCACAGCTGCCCTGGGACAGACTGACAGAGGCGAGCCTGCCGTATCGCGCCCTCTGGCCTTAGTTGAACTAAGTCTGGAACTAAGCTTCAGTTTCAGACCAATACCAATTCTCTGGTATACTGAAGCCCGTTATAGCTATAGTTTTGTAATTCCTGCTGCATATCATTAAACTCCTCACCTTGTTTTACTGCAGTTCCAGCTGAGAGTCATGATTTTTTTTTTACTTCACACATCTAACTAATCCCAAATACCAAGAGAAATTAAAAATGCAACACAAACAAAGTTATATACTTAAAAAAAAACTTTAGAAACCCCAATTTTTCCAGTTTTTTATTGCAATTCATGTCGTTCGGGTCCAATGAATTGCTTGAAATGGTACAAAGGTAAGTGGTGAACTGCCAGAGGTTAAAAAAACGTAAGGTTACTCAAAACTGAAAAATGACGTCCATTTCAGAATTATCCAAAAAGGCCCTTTTCAGGGAACAGAACATGAGTTAACAATTTAAAGCTGCTCTGCAAAGCTGGTGCTACTAATTGCTACAGGTGTTCCAACTTTTCTGGAATGCTTACAACCCCCTCTGTCTGCATAAAAGCAGTGTTGGAATACACTGTGGTACCATACCCTCATCAGCATCAGTTGAACAATATTGTACTGCAGAAAGTAGTGGGTCGCTACAAAAAATGCAATTAACAATGGAAGAGACAGACCATCTTAACACTAAAAAGGTTAGGTCTTTTATCTACAGAGAAATTAGGAAGAATGTCAAGGTGTCAGTGAGTACAGTTTCCTTCACCATCAAAAGGCACTCAGAAACAAACTCTGGCAGGAAGAGGTCTGGCAGACCCAAAGCCACAAATGAATCAGAGTTTCGGAGAGTTAACAGCTTGTGTGATTGGTGGCTCGCAGGACAACAGCTTCAAGCACAGCCTAATAGTGGCCGTGGTAAGGAAGTCCCAGTTTCAACTGTGAAGAGAAGACTTTGAGCTTGCAGCAAGAAAGCCATCGCTAAGATGCCAGAATAAGACAAAGAGGCTTGTCTGGGCCATTAACAAATGCTGTTGGACCACTGAAGACTGGAAGAAGGTATTTTGGACTGATGAATCCAAATTTGAAATCTTTGGTTCATCATGCAGCATCTTTGTATGCTGTTGATCATACACCACAGTCTCCAGACTTAAACCCCATCGAGCTGGTTTGGGATGAACTGGACAGAAGAGACAAAGCAAAGCAACCTACCAGTGCCTCATTTATGGGAACTTCTGCAACAGATATGGGAAGAACTTCTGAACAATATTTGATTTCTATTGTAGAAAGAGTGCCACAGGGGTGTCCAGCTGTTCTGACTGGACAAAGTCAAAAGTTTAGTACATTTTGGTCATTTTGTACTATGCTTTAATTTCAGAGTGCAGTGAGACATTAAACTGCATAATTTTCAGTAAAAAACTGGAAAAATCGGGGTGTTCTAAAACGTTTGATCTGTTGTGGGTATAAAACATTTTGATTGCCGCTAAAATTATGTTTGTACTGAAATGTTAACTAATTTCCCATTTAAAGAAATATCTGTACATGTCTTGAACAAACTGTAAATGTAATTAGAGTGAAGCTTAGATAAGAAAAAGAAGTATGTAAGTATGCAGGTATGCCTACATAACTTTGATATTGATCATATAATAAGTGTCTTTCTTAGGCTATTGCTCAGGCTTCATTCTGCTGCTTTTCCTTTACTAGGTACCTGTGACAATTCCCAGAGCAATGAATGCCGTTCTCCAAATGGCCAGGTGGGAAGTTGCTCAGACACTGCAGGCGAGTGGCAGGTCCCACATACACCCTGCGTTATCCCCACAACCCCACCAACACCCAGAACCACATCAAAGCCCCCACATTCAACACCACCTGTTTGTGAACCTGCTGTCTGTGATCTATTAACTACCAGGTAAAGAGAACCACAAACTGTTCAGCAAACTCGTTATACTTTTCATTTTGGTAGATAGAAAAATGTTCTTATTCTGCACATGTAGAACAGAATGATTTGGGGAATGTGGTATAATGGTATTTTCTTTCCAGTTTGATTGTCAAGTTGACAGCCTGTGAAGGAGCGCTGCAAATATCCTAAATCAATAGTATGTCATAAAGTGGCAGAGCATACAGATGAAGACGAAACTGAGACAGTACTGAATGACTTAGCCAAGTTCTGTTCCTACTAAACAGTTCTCCAGTCATCCATTCCAATCTGATCTATTAAATAGATACAATTTGCCTCAGAGTGACGCTGAAAAACTAGTTCATGCATTTATTACTTCCAGGCTGGACGACTGTAATTCATTATTATCAGGAAGTCCTAAAAACTCCCTGAAAAGCCTTCAGCTGATCCAAAATGCTGCAGCAAGAGTCCTGACAGGGACTAGAAAGAGAGAGCATATTTCTCCTGTTTTGGCTTCCTGTTAAATCCAGGATTCAAAATCCTGCTCCTCACATACAAGGTCTTAAATAATCAGGCCCCATCTTATCTTAATGACCTTGTAGTACCATATCACCCTATTAGAGCACTTCACTCTCGTTCTGCAGGCCTACTTGTTGTTCCTAGAGTATTTAAAAGTAGAATGGGAGGCAGAGCCTTCAGTTTTCAGGCCCCTCTTCTGTGGAACCAGCTTCCAGTTTGGATTCAGGAGACAGACACTATCTCTACTTTCAAGATCAGGCTTCAAACCTTCCTTTTTGCTAAAGCATATAGTTAGGGCTGGACCAGGTGACCCTGAATCCTCCCTTAGTTATGCTGCAATAGACGCAGGCTGCCGGGGATTCCCATGATGCATTGAGTTTTTCTTCTTCAGTTACCTTCCTCACTCTCTAAAAAAGTTCCACAAATTCATCAATTCTAGATGAAATAACTCTTACCATATTTTGTTTCTGTGTGCACATAAAATAATGTCAGCATCAAAAATTAAACCAGGATATTTGGAAAAGCTGCCTTACTCTGTTTAACAGCATTAGGGAAATACTTATAAAAAATAAAAAGAAGAAAATTTAATGGGAGGAGCTTTTATAATCTATAACTGGTTATTGATATAACTGAAATTAACACAAAAAGGAAGGACATGGTATTTCTTTGTCGTAACAGTGCTTCTTGCCAATAAATAAAGTTTAAGACTCTTCTCAAAACATATTTATTCACTGAAGCCTTTGTTTAAGGGGATTGACTCAATTTGTTTGAACATGTTTTATTTTATTTTAGTTATTTATTTCATTTTATCGTATTTTAATTTTATTTTTACTTTGCTTATGCTATTTGCATATGTACAGCACTTTGTGAACTCTGGTTTTATGTTAAAGTGCTTTATAAATATAGATGGTATGGTATAAATCATAATGTTTTAGAGCCTGTTTATTTCCCCTTAAACGGAGCCACTGAGTTTAGTGTATGCGCCCATGAAAAACTTGCCAAATCTTCTCTACAAATGCCTTACAGCAAACTCTATTGACTGGTTTTGAGCTTCTGGTTACCTTATTGGTGCTTGATCAAAAACAACTGTGAGCATGGACCCTGCTACAGTGGTTTGTAGAGGTTTAGTACCGTCTCCAAATTGAAGGCCAAGCTTTATAAAATGGTACCACATTTGTAAAGAGAGCAGCAGTCTGGGTGGTTGTAGCTCAGGAGGTAGAGCAGGTCAACTCCTAATTGAAAGTTAGGTGGTTTGATCCCTGGCTCCTCCAGTCTCTATGCCAAATATCCTCGGGTAAGATATTGACCTCAAGTTGCTCACTGATGCATCCATCAGATCCATGTGAATGTTAGATTGAAAACACTTAACACACATAGGAAAAAAGTGCTTGTCTGGATGAGGGGTGTTGTACATTATGAGGCACGAGTGCTTAGGTAGAGTAGACAAGCACTGTCCATTCCACTCACCAATTTTGTCTTTGTTTTGGTAAAAGCACTATCCAGTCCTTTTACCAAAAACAAAAACAAAGAAATAATTGACCGAACACTAGTTTCTTCACTTTTTGTACGAAGTTTATAAGCTAAGCGATAGCACTGAGACAAGTAACTGGCCTATTACATATATGGATGTTTTTAGTCATTATATGATGTATGAATGTTTGTACACATTTTGTGAATAATCATTTTCCTGATACACTCTGGCTTGTATGTCTCTTCTAGTTTATTTGCACCATGCCACAAAGTTGTACCTCCAGGACCATTTGTGACATCATGTGTCTTTGACACTTGCAATCTTGGCAAAAACAGCTGCTGCAGTCTGGAGGCTTATGCCACTGAATGTTCTAATGAAGGAATCTGTATTGATTGGAGAAATGCTACCAATGGGCTCTGTGGTGAGATATACATATTATATCCATACAGTTGATTTTTTGGTTATTTGGTTTTTGCAGTTCTGAACAATGTGCTCTTAACATACTTCCATCTTTCAGAGCACAAGTGTCCAAGCAACAAAGTGTACATGCCCTGTGGTCCATCCGTAGAGCCTACATGCAATAACGGGTAGCGTAAACCATATCAGTGTGAAGAACTTTTGTTTGTTTAATGATCCTGATGAATTTAGTGATGTGTATTTTCTGGGGGGGATATGGAATATTTTGATAGTAGGATTAATTAAATATATATATATTTTTAATCAAGATTAGCCCAATCTCTATTTTTGATGGGCTAATTCATTTTCTCTCATCAGATACAACACGGCATACCAAACAGTGGCATCCAGTAACAACACTAAGGAAGGTTGTTTCTGTCCTCATGGTACCACATTATTCAACACAGTACATGACATATGTGTTGACACCTGTGGTAAGACCAGATTCTGCAGAACGCTATTTTGCTGGGCTTTGAAATATTTTTCTCCCAAACATCACCTGCTACTGTCTGTGATTGCCTTTCAGCCTGTGTTGGACCTGATGGAAAACCCAAACAGGTGAGAACTCTGCTCTTATGTTCATGCCTTCTTAACAATGAACAACATGTGTGAATCTGAATCGGTGTGTTTCTTTTAAACAGCTGGGCGAGACTTGGACAAGTGACTGTCAAACCTGTGTTTGTGACAAGGACTCCATGAGCGTCCAGTGTGAGCCTGTTCAGTGCCAGTCTGTACAAAGTCCTAACTGCAGCGAGCCTGGCCAGCAACTGGTCAACAATACAGTGAACTGCTGCACAACACAGTCATGTGGTCAGTTTTAGTGTCTTTGAACTAGCTTTAAACACTGTCTTGCAGTTGATATCACACAAATGGATGACTGACACTGATGAAAATTGCCTTTCCTGGGACTAGTACTGTCTTTATGCTCAATTTTCATCTCAAAGTGTTTTTGTTACAAGACTCGTCCAGTCGATCACAGACATTATTCACGCAGCACTTTCATCCCTCTGTGCTTCTGACATTTACACACACACTCCATTGGATGCATCAGCAGCAACTTAGGATACTTGAATACTCAAACTAGAAGAGTAAGGTATCAATCCAACAACCTTCTGGTTCGTGGACAACCCACTCTACCTTCTGAGCCTAATATGCCAGATAACACCTGGAGGTAGTCTCATGCCTGCCACATTCATAACGTAGTTATTTAGCTTAATGGAAAATATGCACATTTGCATTTCTGTTTGCTTTTCAGAGACAGCTTGGTTCTGTGTGATTGAAATCTCCATCTCAGTCAGTGAATAATAATGAAAACGAAAACTCAAAATCACAGAAAAATCAAGATCGGTAGAGCTTGTGCCAATGTACTTATTGCTGTTCTTTGAAATCATCACATGGTTGTTTAGAAAAAAAAGACTACATTCACATTAATCTGTTGATTACAATGTGATTACAAACTTGGCTGTAGTGGATCACCGACTGTGTCCTGAGGGACTCCTCCCAGGTCTGTATTAGGGTATAACTGAGTTCTTGGACAGTCTAAAGTGCAACCTGGTGGTGTTAGATGGACCAAAGCGTAATGTTGTAGAGGTGTTATATGGGACTTAGTCAGGTAATCCTGGAAGCCATTCAATGATATTAATTCCTTTATCCTTGAGGAACTATCTGCATCCACATGAGTTGTGCACCAGGGTCTGATAATAGATCCAAGGATTTCATCCCAATGCTAGTCCGGCAGTCCGGGTGTCATCATAAGTCTTGAGTAGAAGATACCGGTCCTACTCGTGGGTTAAGGACCTTCTATGCCCCTGTCCAGCCCTTCCACTGTGCTGGAATACACAACCAACCTTCTGGCAATGGCAGATATGAGTATGTGTGGACCTCAGTACAGTACCTTGGTACTGTACTGAGGTCACAGTACTAAGGTCAATACAGGTCAACACAGTCCTTCACTCTCAGATTGCTGACTTACTTGTTGTTCGTAAGATATTTAAAAGTTAAATGGAAGGCATACACTTTCATACACCACTTTACATTTAATCATTAGTTATTTTTAATCTTTGGGTCTCTTGTACAGCTTGTGTTTGGTCCTGTCTTTCTCCTCTCACCCACAGCTAGTCACAGCAGATATAAGCCCTTCCCTGAGGCTGGTTCTTCTTCCTGTTAAAAGGAAGTTTTTCCTCCCACTGTCAGCAAAGTGCTTGCTCATAGGGGTTATCTGACTGTTGGGGTAAGACCTTGCAATATTGTAAAGTCTTACCCTTGCAACATAAAGTGCCCTGGGGCAACTGTTTTTGTGTTTTGGAGCTATATAAATAAAATGTAATTTCATTTCATTGAATTAAATTAAAAGAGAGCTTGGCTCAGCAAAGTCCCTTCCCAGCTTGTACTAAATCATGTAAACAGTTGCTTTCCTGGTTCTTCAAGTTATTGTTATCAAATGGAAAGTTGTGCAAATCTTCATCATCACATTCTGACAAGTTCTCCTTCCTTTTGCAACAGAATGCAACGTAAACCTGTGTCCTCCTCCTCCCACGTGCTTGCTGGGCTTCCAACTGAGCATTACCAATGGCACCTGTTGTCTATCCTACAACTGTGGTATGTCACTCTAATCCATCAGCCTGTGAATGGAAGTGAATGAATAAATGGATGGAGTCTAGTACAATGTAAACTACAACAGATCATCAATGCATATGTGTGAATGTTAACTAAACCCATGTCTCTTTGTGTCTGCAGTTCCTAAAGGTGTATGTGTCTATAACATGACTGAATACAAGGTAAGCACACAGTTCAAACTCTGGAAACAATAAGTGGTTTTCCCTAATACACCAAACAAGAACCATCTGTTGTCCTGAATTATACACATAACAAAGTGCAGCATCCTGCACTTGATGTATGTATGATTTACATCAGTATATTCAACTTTTTAAACTGTGCCTGACTGAAAACTGAATGAAGCCCAGCTGTGAAGTTACAACAGTGAAAATTGTGTGAGGCTCTTTCGCTGGAATGTATGTATTCAGATGGATGGTTAGGTCTTCATTTCAATCGCAGCTATTGGAAAGCAAGTAAATCAGTAAATTTGTAGGCAAAACTTCACATGGAAGAGTGTCACAGCTGAACACACCAAGTAGCTTTAACGTGTATTCAGCCCTGCAGTTCAAAGTAATAGGGTTCTAATGTGCAGGTAGAAATAAACAGCAGCACGGAGACCGCATGAAGTTCTTATAGCTTGAGTTAATTTTACTGCACTTGTGGCGATGAAATCACCAGTCTCTCCTATTTGTTGGAAAAGTGTTTTTTTTATGTCAATTTTTATGTTCTTTATAGATCGCTATTACTCACTTCACTGATACGATCTTTGATTGGACTAGGGAGTGCTCAGTTGACATGTAAAACGCCCCCTTATATATGATATCTTTGACTGGTGTTTTAGATTTTGTCAAGCCAGCTAACTCTCTCTGTGCTGAACTTTGTTTTATACTCATCATTACGATAAGGCTTAAAATAGATATAGAGGTATGAAATATTCCTTGAAGCAATTAATATAATATATAACATACAATTCTTTAGCCTGGTACCAAGATCCCAACACCAGACACACTATCAGAACCCCCGCTGGAAGCACCAGAAGCACAATCAATTGTAGAACAAGCATCAGTAACAACAACAACACCATCAGGAGCTGGAGAAATATCAACAACGTCAGAGTCGTTTACGCCCGGGCCCTGCCAGGAATGTTACTGTGGCCCCGAAATGGATCCTGTCACCAAGCTGAACATCGTTATCTGCAAACCTGTCGTCTGCAACGAAAACTGTTCTGCTGTAAGCTCATTCACATGCCAACTCGCACGACACATTCATTACATCATAAAGAGGAATCATCGCCCCACACTTCACACCAGCAAGCCAGCCTGAGCAAATCGCAGTAGGTCCAGAACAATAGCACCAAAGAACTAGAACCTTAGATGTGAATTGAAATGAACAGTTTTGTGAAACTTAGTTAAAAAAACTCCAAAACAAAACACTGAAGCAGAGCTATTCTTATTTTCTGCAATAGAAAATAATGTTCATTGCTGAAATGGTGCCGCTATGTTACATTAAACACAACTGTAGCTTCAAATAATGAGGCCACATATGTATGCACACGCAATCCTTCAGACTTCTCTAAACAGCATTTCTGCTATTTGTTTTAGTAGTAACTCACTATGATGTCACTGAGATTGGATATCACTAATATCACTCAGGTGCACAACGTTTACTGGGCACATAGAAACACCACCCGTCTGTTGTTCAAATGTTTTCTTAATGAGGTGGAGCCGTCCAATAGAAAGTTGGCCTTTATACCTTTAAGGTGAGAGAAGAATTAAAAGTACGTTTCAGATAATGAACTAAATGTTATTAAGCACTTTATGAAGGCATCATTAACAAATAAGTTAGCCTCTAAGAACATAAGTGTTTAACTTATCCTTTACATACTGGCTTTCTTCTTTCATTTTGTTGTGCAAATAGTAATGATAAAACCTTTTTAGCCCTTTACTGATTTCTTAGGTTTTTACATACTTGTCACACTTAGATGTTTAAGGTAGTCAAATACATTTTTAAATTAGATAAAAATAACTTAAGTAAATATTAAATACAGTTTTTAAATAATGAAAAGAAAAGAATGCCTGACTATGCTAAAAAGTCATTGGCCCTTCAACCTACTAACTGGCTGTGCCCCCTTAGCAACAACTGTATTCAAGCATTTGTAATAAGTGGTCCTTCACATGCAGATATGTTTTAATTCAGCCACAGTGAAGCATATTCCAGCATCGCCAGGTCTACACAAACACACACATACTTCTTTCCTTACAAAGCTCTCTTACTCTTCATATCTCACTCTTTTGCAGGGTTATGAATATCAGACTGAACCAGGAAAGTGTTGTGGAACATGTGTTCAGATGGACTGTATTTTCACCACACCTGACAACGTGACGGTGCATGTTATTGAGGTCAGTACTGCAGCCAACAGTGAATAAATGCTAGCATTAGAAGCACCACAGCAGGACTCCTTTCTTTTTCGTTCTTAAAAACTAATCAGCAATTTAGGACCTAAAAAACAAAAGCTTATAAATGCAAAGCCAAAAAAGTATTTTTGAAATGAGATGACACACAGGTACCCTGTGTTTTGAGCCAGAATTGCTGTTTTACATGGTTTTACAGGTCAACAGCTCTTACATACCTCCTAATGACAAATGTGTGCAATATACCTGTGAGAAGCTCAACGGACAGCTTGTTACCAAGGAAACCAAGGCTACTTGTCCTCCCTTTAACCCCTTGGACTGTGAACCTGTGAGTTTATTAGACTTTTACAGATCAGATTGGTGGATTTTGCATTTTACTGCTTAATATTTCACACAACATGAAATGTCTTCCTCCTCCAGGGCACTGAAACAACAGATGCCAGTGGGTGCTGCCCAACCTGTAAGCCATCAAACTAAATAACTAAATACATGTTAAGAACAAAGTTTAAAAATGTGCCTCACGTGAGTGTGCAACTGTTGTTATATGTTCCAGGCAATATAAGTCTGTGTAAGACCCAGAAGGAGCAGAGAATCCTTGAACTGAACAACTGCAAGAGCGCACAGCCAGTTAACATCACATATTGCGCTGGACACTGTGACAGTTTCTCCATGTGAGTCTATTATTTGAAATTTAACCGAGAGCGCCTTCATTTCCCTTAACTGGCTGCTACATGTTCACTGTTTTTATTGCATACCAAAGAATACACTATTATTTATCTGCTGTAGCCACACTCATGAATAATGAATAAGAACTAGTATATATGAGTGCAACAATAAAGTAATGATCATCTTTAAACATCACCCACTCAGGATTAGGCATTGTACAGAACATTCAGATTTTTCTGTTGATTAGTTACTGTAACTACTGTAACTACTGTAACTACTTCATTAATGGGTCTTTCTGTGTGTGTGTGTTCAGGTACTCTATGGAAGCCAACACAATGGTACACAATTGCGAGTGCTGCCAAGAAGCCACCACAAGTGTGGAGCAGGTGGAGCTTACCTGTGCTGATGGGTCTAAGCTGCAGCACAGCTACACCATGGTTCAGTCATGCCAGTGCAGCAAAACAGAATGCGTGGAAGGGACAACGCCCAAACCACAGCGCCGCAGGAGACGCTGATCATCAGTAACTTAAATGCTTTACAATGGCTCGACCACCTCGACACTGATTGTGCCTCATTTTCTTATCTCTGGTTAAACAAATGCTCCTTTTCTGTATCACAACATACCACTGTGATGTAAACTGTCTTTTCTTGGTGATGAACATTAAAGTCTTTCTGCAACATGAACATTTACACCAAGTCTTTGTGGGGATTGAACATAAAAGTTTGAAAAACATGGAGGTTTAAGACTTTTTGAAGACAAATTTGACATTGCGAAGGGAACAATCTTACAGAAATGTTATATTCCATTACATCTGCTATCGGCTGGCTTCTAAATCACCTTCTCACTTAAAAACATTCAATTCAATTCAATTTTATTTATATAGCGCCAAATCACAACAAAGGTCGCCTCAAGGCGCTTCATAGGTAGCAAAAACATGTGCACTACTTGTTCTTGTCTAGTGACATGTGACTGCAATTCATGCTGAATCATAAATATTCTGAATATTCTGAAATCAGTAAACACCAATGGAATACCAAAGTTCCTGGACTGAAAGATGTGTATTACACTGAGATAACAGAATCACATGACACCACTGCACTTTCAACATTAAGAGTTTTGCAGACTGACAGTTTCATGGAGAAGAACTTTGGCAGACAAAATGTTGGCAGGTTACAGGTGTGAATAGAAGACTTAGATTAGAATATACAGTCACCAAGGAGCATTGTGGGTCTTAAAACCTCTGCAGATGTCATACTGTTGTCCTCCATTCAGATATCAGTAGCAAAGTGACATCTTCAAACTCATTTGGAAGGTAACTGCACATCAAACCTTCATGTCCTGACTTAGTGATGGTAAACCTATATTAACTTTGTTAGAAATGACTCACAGTGGACAAAAGAGTTCTTCTAACCAGGGTAGTCATTCACTCATTATTATTACTGCATACATTTCTATATATATACACAATGAATAATTTGAAATGCACTACACACTTTACAGATACCAATAATACAGGAGGTTGTGATTTGCTGCAGTTATGGCAGGTGCAAAACAAACTGTTTACAAAAGCATCAACAGAAATATTTGGTGCACTGTGAAAATCCAATCCTGTGATTAGAGGGTAGAACACCCACTGAGTGGCTATACCAAAATGACTGTCAGAACTTGGGAGCAGAGTTGTGTTTAAGCTCTAGGGACCTTATTTGAACTGGAAACAAAGCTCTTTTGGGAACTCGGCTGCTGCTGCAGTGTGTGAGAGTATATTACTGTGGGAGGACTATAAACATGTCTATAAGAGAAGGGGTGGAGCTCTGTATATAGACTACTTTCACTGTGAATGCATGCATCTGTTAGCATGTCTGGTATCAGACTGTCTTGTATAGTTAGAGCTCCTCAGCCATCTGCAGCAGAGAGTTGATGGCAGCATCCTTGTTGCCTTGCTGTGCGTCCAGTACAGTGCGAACCACCTCTTTATCCAGGTTGGGGAACATGTCCTGCAGAGCCTTAAGGTCCTGCTCAGTGCATGGTAGGCCCTGGTTCCCAATTGCTGGCATGGTAGTTGGCACTGCCATAGGCATCATGCCCTGGTTGTAGACTGCAGGAACTCCTAGGAACACAGATGACACTGCTTAAACAAGAACCAGCTTTTAACTTATTAGATACAAGGTTTAACTGACTGACCTGTGATGGGCACGTATCCTACTCCTTGTTGATATACAGATGGCATAAAGACGACAGGCTGAGTCATCATTCCTGCTGGTAAAGACTGGCACAAAGACAGGGTTAACAATTTCACTTCATGGAAATAAATGAAACAGAAATGAAAGATGGTTTTCAAGATATTTCCTGACAGTGAAGCAACACTTGATCATTTTGAAAACCTTTTCCTTAAAACTAAATCAAAATGAATAATAGATATTAGAGGCTATCATGTTCCAAGCTTTCAAGATTCGTTTTGTTACACTATACAAAACAATTTATGGAAACTGTGTCATTGTCCAAATACTTCCGGGAATAATAAACCGACTGTGGATCCATAGTAACAGCATAACCAAAACTCAATCTGTGATTTAACACACAGACGTGTGATGCACTTTCCATCTTATCTGATGAAGGGTGCGTGTAAATGTCCTCACAGCAAAAGACATAACCAGGTTGATCATGCCCTCCTTGTCGTCACCCTGCCGTCCACTCAGGCTGAACCACTCATCCACCACTCTGCCCTCCCTTAGGCCTTCAGGGATGGTGACATGTGTCCATGCTATCCTGTCATCCATAGAAAATGCTCTCTGTACATCAACACATGGAAACAATTATCAGGTCAGTGGATAAATGCAAATGTATACTGCTGGATCATTAACAGCAGAGTTCAAATTCAACGGTTTCTTCATTTGTAAGGCTTTAAGACAAGGAAATTACCAGAGTATGAAAACAATTCACACAACAGTTCAGCTCAGAATATAAGATGTGACCAAAACGTTCTGGGAAGAGGCCCATAACAAACACCTTGCCTGATTTAAATTTAGCCGTCTCTCCTTCAAGCTTGTTTGGCACCAAATATCAACAACAGTTTAAGGCACCTTATACTGTAAGGCAGGGCTGCCCAATCCCAGTCCTCGAGAGCTACTATCCTGCAGCTTTTAGATGCATCCCTACTCCAACACAGCTGAATCAAATGGTGTGATTACCTCTTCAGCATGCCATCATGTTTGGCAAAGGCCTGATAACAAGCCATTCATTTGATTCAGGTGTGTGGGAACAAGGATGCATCTAAAAGCTGCAGGACGGTAGCTCTCGAGGACCGGGATTGGGCACCCCTGCTGTAAGGTAAAGACCCTACAAGAAAACCCAACGACTAGACAACCGCTTATGAGCGAGCACTTGGTTTTTCCTTGGTGAAGGAAAAACTCCCTTTTAACACAAAGAAACCTCCAGCAGAACTAGGCTCAGTGAGGGGCAGCCATCGTTAAAAAATTAATTAATTAAAAGAAAAACTGCCAGTCACTGATGAGCTGATGTAATTTCACCATAGACCTCAACCTCAAGCAGATAAACTTTCAACTTCTGTTTCAAATTGACTACATTTTGTGATAATGGATCATAACTGGCGGTGAGAGTGGGGTCTCTTGTTAGTGCCAAGCAGTTTGGAGAACATCCAGCACGTATTTCAGAAGAACAAAAAAAGAAGTACAAGAACAAGTACAAAGGGACATAACAGGACTTCCCCCGAGAGATCTAAAAGGTAAGAGTCATGCTGAAGATGGTCCAGAGGCGCATTAGAACAGGATCTTTAGATTTTATAGGCCTTTCCCTGAACCTTTTGATTACACCCTATATCATCAATAAATATGCACTGTTGATAGAGACAGAATGTAAGAAAACAGTTTCAACTGTAGTTTCATTTACTTTGTCCATCCTTGACAGCACATTTCCTCATTTGAAGGGTGAAACTACAGAAACAAGGTGCTAGGAGAATTGCAATAGCACTGACACGGCATTATGTCCAGGAATACTATGCAAATAAAATCTAAGCATAAAAGCAGCCCAGATAGCTTTCCCCTGGAAATCTTAAGTAAAAAAATTACTGCTTAACAAATAACCTTGTAACTTTTTAGTAGCGTTCACAATACTGTCACATAATAAAACTGAAAAAAATGTTAGGGTTATTCAAAAGTAATTTCCATCCACCATTTCACCCCCCTGACATACGTAGAGCTAGAGGAGTATTCCTGTAACCTCCACAGAGCTGTGTTTACTTGGCTAGCACATTACCAGCTGCTAACCTCCACCTTTGTAGCCTGCTCGTACTCAACAATGTGTTTCTGCCTCCAAGTGGTAAAAGACAAACAATTTCTTTCACCTTTAGAAGGAAGAGTTTTCTTGCATATTTTGTATAGTACTGTGCTTTATTGGAGGATGTTGAAGTAGCTGTTTTTAAATCGCATTGCATTGGATTTTCTCT